ATGCAGGGTTTCATTTTGGGGTAATGAAAACACTCTAAAATTGTGGCCAAAAAAATGCGTAATTCTATAAATGTACAAAATGCCACTGTACACTTTAAATGCGTGAATTGAATGGTATATAAATTATATCTCAATAAAGCTGTTTAAAAAGAAAAGCTTTCAGTGTAAAAATTGGTGAAATCTGAGTACAGTCTGGAGGTTAATAAGAATTGCCAATGCTGGCTTCTTAGTTTTGACTAATACACCACGGTGATGTAAGATGCTAACGTCAGGGGAAATTAGCTAAGGGATATACAGAGACTCTGACTTACCTACGCAACTTGTCTATAAATGTTGTTATTCAAAAATACAACCTTTATTTAGAAAAAAGTTGGCTGGTGGATAAAAAGGATGGTGTCTCAGTCCACAGTCCATTTTGTGCTGTTAAACAGAACACTCGAGAGTTGGTCATTTATGATGAACAGAAATTTACTGGCTCACAGTTCTGGAGGCTGGGACATCACGATCAGGGGCATCTGGCCAGGGCCTTCTTTCTGTGTCATCCCAAGGCACAAGGCAAGGAGGATGAGGCAGGGTGAGGGGGTCAAAGACACCCTTGTATAATGGCACAATCCCACCATTGGGGGTGCAGCCCTCATGGCTTAATTGCCTCTTACGGGTCCCACCTCTTAATACTGTTACAATGGCAATGAAATTTCAACATGAGGCCAGGTGTGGTGGCTCACACCTGTAATCCCAGCACTTTGGGAGGCTGAGGCAGGAGGATCGCTTGAGGCCAGGAATTTAAGACCAGCCTGAGCAACATAGTGAGACCCCATCTCTACAAAAAAATAAAAACATTAGCTGGGTGTGGTAGCGTGTGCCTGCAGTCCCAGCTACTTGGGAGGCTGAGGTAGAGGATCCCGTGAGCCCGGGAGTTCGAGGTTACAGTGAGCTATCACTGTACCACTGTAATTCAGCCTGGGCAACAGAGGAAGACCCTTTCTCTAAAAAAATAAAAATTTTACAAATTTCAACATGAGTTTTGGAGGAGTCAAACATTCCACCCACAGCAGATGGAGAGATGGGCAGATAAAGCAAACTGCAAAATATTATTGGGAAGAGGCCTGGACAATTCAAAAGCTAACCTAAAAAGTTTTTCAAAAAACGAATTAGAAAGAAACGAACAATTAGAAATACTTGATTAGTCCAAAAGAAAGTGAGAAAAGAAGAATAAAGAACAGACGGGAAAAACAGAAAACACAGAGCACGATGACAGCCGCAAGGCGACTCTGTCGGTGCTCTCACCACACGCAAATGGCACAGACGTGCCCGCCCAACGACGAACATGGCCTGGCTGGGCAGAAACATGAGGCTCACCCACGACTTCTTCACGAGGGACAGACTTAAACATAAGGACGCAGAGTTTGCAAGCAAAGATGGGGGAAGGGCGTGCTGTGTGAACGTCAGCCCAAAGGAGCCAGCGTTACGAAAAAGAGCACTTCATAACGGTAGGGGTAATTAACAAGAAAATGTAAAAATCCTAAATTTTTATTCAACCGATAACACAGAATCAAAATATATAAAGCAAAAATTGGCAGATCTAAAAGGAAAGGTAGATAATCCACAATCACAGTGGAAGATTTTAACCACTTCTTCAGTTATAGACAGTACAAAATGACAAAAAACTCAAGGATATAGATAATTTGAACAGGAGTAGCCAATATGGCCCAACTGAACACACAGAACAGCACATCCAACAGCCACGTGAGAACATACGTCCTTCCCAGGCATGCAGGGCCGCGTTCACTAGCACAGGACACGGCCTGGGCCAGAGAGCGAGTCTTGACGGGTTTCGAATAACTGAAATCACACAGCATACGTCACTGTGGGATTAAATTAGACCACTGCAGTATTAATTGGAACTCGGTAACACAAAGATAACTAGAAAATCTCTAAGTGTTTGTAAATTAGCAACACACTCCTAAACAGCCTGCAGATCCATGTATATTATTAAAAAACATTTTGAGGCCAGGCATGGTGGCTCAGGCCTGTAATCCTAACACTTTGGGAGGCCAAGGTGGGAGGATTGGTTGAGCACAGGAGTTCAAGACCATCCTGAGCAAGAGCAAGACTCCGTGTCTACTAAAAGTAGAAAGAAATTAGCGAGACAACTAAAAATATATAGAAAAAATTAACCGGGCATGGTGGCGCATGCCTGTAGTCCCAGCTACTCAGGAGGCTGAGGCAGGAGGATCGCTTGAGCCTAGGAGTTTCAGGTTGCTGT